CGACAACCTCCCACCAGAGCAGGTTGCTCAAGGCTTCATCCAACCTGGATTTCAATACCATCAGGGTTGGGGCAGCCACAGCCTCCCTGGGCAACCTGGGCCAATTTCCCCTCACAGGGAAAACTTATTCCAGATATCTAATCTAAATTTCCCTCCTTCAATTTGTATCCATTGCCCCTTGTCCTGTCCCTGCAGCTCCTAACACAGATCCCTCTGCAGCTTCCCTGGAGCCCCTTCAGCTCCTGGAAGGTGCTCTGAGGTCTCCACACAACCTTCTCTTCTCCAGGTTGAACAGCCCCAACTCCCTCAGCCTGTTTTCACATGAGAGATGCTCCAACCCTCTTAGCAACTTCGTGACCTCCTCTGGACTTGCTCCAAATGTTTTAGTGGAGTATCAGTGATAGAGACATGAAAGTTGCTTCTTAAAAAACCAAACCCTTATATCATGTCTATGGTGGAACAGTCAAAGGTGTTTTCTCTTTAGTGCTTTTCTAACTAAAAGTAAGTTTTAAATGTATTGCGCTAGTTTTGATCATGGTGAGTGAATGTGTGAAATGCGAGGGCTTATAGAGTCATAGAATCATCAGGGTTGGAGGAGACCTCTAAGATCATCCAGCCCAACCATTAACCTGTCACTGCTGGAACCCCTAAACCAGATCCTCCAGTGTCAGATCCAGACACCTCTCAAACGCTCTCAGGGATGGTGACTCCACCACCTCCCTGGGCAATATCCCAGTGCCTCAACACCCTCACAGGGAAAACATTTCTCCTAACATCTACTCATTATGCTTGTTGTTACACTTGTATGTTTTAAGGTCAGGTGGAGTTTGGGAATCTCTTTGGGCTGTTCTTCCAAGGCTGTGCCGGTAACAGGTTCTCTGTGCATTCCCCAGGGCCTGGGGTTCCGTCCCCCTGCGCACTCCCGGAGCGACTGGATCGGCCCCCCGGACAAACATTCCAACCTGCGTCCTGTCATCTTCTACGTGCCCCCCAGGGAGTCGGCCCTGGAGCGGCGGCTGCGCGAGGCACGGCAGGAGAACCAGGTCTGCAACCAGCGCTTCTGGGCACGCCACAACTCTGCCTTCCTCCAGGTGAGCCTGCCCTGGCACTGCTGCAGCTCAGCCCCTGCCTGCCCACCCCAAATCACACAGCTGGGTAGGTCATCTGCTCCGACCTCCCTGCTCAGGCAGGGCCAGCCCAGATCACATGGCTCAGAATTGTGTCCAGACAGTTCTTGAACACCTGCAGTGAGGGAGAATCCACAGCCTGTCTGGGCAATGTGTTCAGTGCTCAGTGACTGCACAGGAGAGAAGTTCTTCCTTGTATTCAGGTGAAACTTCCTGGGCATCAGTGTTTGCTGTTCCCTCTTGTTTGATTGGTTTCCCCCACTGAGCAGAGTCTGATCATCCTCTTGGCACTTCCCATTCATGGACTTGAATCCATTCCTGAGGTCCCTCTCAGTCATCTCTTCTTGAGGCTGAACAGCCCAAACTCCCTCAGCCTTTCCTCATCCCTGAGGTGCTCCAGTCCCTTCAGCATCTTCCTTGCCCTCCCCTGGA